TCTTTTATTTTTTTTGCACATCATACTTAAATAGATATAGCTAAACCAATTATGCCAACTGAATAAATTACCAATATTGATAAACTTCAGCTTTACACCATGACGTGTGCAATTATGAATAAACTCCAAGTTTATTATGATATGGGTTTTTATATCAATAAACTTCTACTTTATTGTGGCATTCTTTTGTTTGTGTAGTACAAACTGGAGAATAAAGTGGGTAACTTTTTACATACATATCACCCCGCTACAAGTTGTAGGGATAAAAGATATTAAATCTTTCCTTTATTTATAGTCTCAATATAACCAACCGCTTTCGCGAATACTTTAGAAACTTAATAAGTTTCTTTGAGACTTACTACAACACAACGTCTTATTGATAATCAATTTTCTCCAAAATAGTATAACTGGCTCTTCTAGAGCTCTCAATCATTTGGTACTACCACATATTCATCAACATCCATATGGTGAATATCTCTTTTAAAGAGAAAGTTATACCATTATGGTTATGGTCAAAATTATATGCAAGATCTGTTTCTTGCATTACCGTTGTCTTTTAACAATCACAATGCCAAAATATTTTGGCGTACAATAGGTACGTGACCAATGACCATTCATGCCATAATAATGACATTATCTTCTTATATCATCTCAAATCTCCTTCTAGAGGTGAGTGTGGTATATTCACTACCACTAGCACGTTCATATTCTTTGAAGAATGAATATGTATTCATAAATCAGATGTTGTCACATTCACATCATGAATGGACCATAATCATCTGTATGTGCTTTACGAAATCTTATGTCAAATCGATGACAAATATTTTCACAAGTGGGAGATTATTTTGAGAATCCTTATTATTCTCATTACCACGATAATGACGATTATAATTTCGTCTATTGCCACGTCCATGTCCATTGATACATTCATAGTAATAATTTTGTCTTCTTTCAGACTTATCACATACTGCTATCACATTCTCTTAAGGGAATGAGAATGGAGCAAATTTAATGGGACGGGTTTCCACTTTTTGTGTCCATAATCATACATGAATTTGATCATGGCAAGACATAGAAATTTTTACCACTTCAGGCGGTTATAATTTCTTACAAACTCCATTAGAGTTATAATCAAACTTTGTTGTCTTTGCTTGTAAATAAAATCAAATTATAGAATTTCAAAAATTAAAAGAGAAAAACAAAGTAAAATACTTACCTTAAATCCAAAATTTAAGCATGAAGGAAATTCATAGAACAATTGACAATCATTATGATCAATCCCAAAGCTTCTACTCAATTGGTTAGAATCTCGTGCTGATAACGTATTATGAAATAATAAAAGAAGAAGAAGAGTATTACACAGAAAAGTAGGGAGAGAGAATTCTTATTGATTTGGGATGAATTACAATGGAATAGAACCCTCTATTTATAGGGAGAGAGTGACTTAGCCACCAAGTAATAAACCCTACTATCTTTCTAAATATAGACATTCACTATAAATACAATTCTATTTATAACATGTGTAACTTAGTATGTTAATAAATAATATATGTAATGTGTAATTTAGTATAAATTTCGGTACGGTATTGGTATTTCGGTGTTGTTTTTTAAATATCAAATACCATACATAATACCAAATTATTTTAAAAACTTAAGCCAAATACCATATCAAATACTATAATACTGAATACCATATACCAAATTTTTTGACTTCGGTATGATAATTCGGTATTTATCATATTATACACAGCCCTACCAAATAACATAACTTAATTTTAATAATCAAAATAAAAATGAGAACATATATGCTAAATATAAGTAACTCGATACTGTGTATTTTTAGATATTGGTTTTCGTTGTTATACAAAATAAAATATATTTTGAAGAAAAAGAAAGGAGAGTCACCTTCTACTCCAAAAAGCATGATCCATCATTGTTTTTGAGCTAATGATTATTATTTTTAAATTTTGTTTTTTGTTAGCCCCACATATTAGCTTTTGTGAGCGTTTTCCTAAAGGTTAGCTTGCGTTTGTGATAATTTTAGCACCTTATAATAACGCCTAAGAACGGGAAAATGAAAAAAATAATTAGCACTACAATTTTATTTTATTTTATTAAAATTCCTATGAAACCAGCAACCGCTGTTCTTCGGGTCGACTATGTAACCTGCTTATGGTACAATTGCTTGCAAATCATATAGGAAATGTAAACCGTACTAGGCAAGTCCGGTACAACGAGCTTCGACTGAGAGACTACTGATAAAGAGAATGGATCCTGAATCTCCCATGTACAAAACAACTCACCCAACCAACTCAGCCAATATTGCGGGCTAGCACTAATATTTTTATTGTATCACATCTCAACTTTTTGCTTGGTTATACACCAAAGTCAACATTTACCATTTGTTCTTCTGTAAAAAATTTATTCTCTACTTGTCACTGGGTGCTAATTATGGTCGAAAAAATTGACTTTTACACTTTTTTTTGGGCCATGATTTATGCATTCGACAATTGCTTTTAGTACTACTGCGATTTTCTTTCTACTTATAGCTCCTATAGGCTATAAGTCGGAGTCCGGAACCAAAATAATTTTTTTGGACTCAAACTATACAAATAGGTGTAAAAAAAAAAGTTACCATACTATATATAACGCCAGAAAACCTGGCGCTATACATTAACGGTAACTGAGCCGTTAATGTATAGCGCCAGATTTTCTGGCGTTATACAAAAAAATCTGACACAGCTGATATAGTGCCATAAAAAGTGGCGCTATATGTATATACTCTTTCTTTTCCTTTTTGGTAATTATTAGACATCATTTAACTACAATCATTTAGTTATTGCTCTACTATTTATGAATATTCATTTAATAAGTTTTCTAATATTTAATAATAGTCATTAATGATTTTCCTAATATTTAGAACTTTGAAATCAATTAAAACTTTATATGTTAGTAAAATTTTCCTTATCTTAATTATGTAGATTATTTTCACCCCAATCATTTAGTTATTGCTCTACTATTTATGATATTAAAAAATTATTACCTCCCAAATGAAGAAACAATATAAGGTAATATATTTTTATAAAATTTCATCTAATTATTGCATTCCATCTCTTGTTTGATCGTGGGCTAATTTGATCAACTTCTGAACTCAATCGGATAAAAAAAGTTAAATTATAACTACTATACGTTTTTTTCTTATTAAAATGACAAAAATTACATTTAAAAATTATTCACGGAATATTTGGGTTGGTTCTTGACTGGCAAACAATTTTGGACAAATAAATTTGATCCAACTTGTTAATGCGACTTGAAATTGAAAGTTCGTCAGTTTAGGACTTAAAAAGTACAATCAAACCTCTTTATAACAGGTTCGTTTGTTTTAGTTTTTTTTATTGTTATAGCTAATTGATGTTATAGAGAACATATATTATAATCTAGTATAGAAATTGGTTCCTAATATGTAGATTATTTAGAACTTTCCTTATCTTTATTATTATGATCTAATTATAAATATAGTGTACTTATTATTATTTTTAATATTATTAACTTGTTCAACTAATTTCGATAGAATTTGCATGAATTTAATTGCTTAATTTATATATAAGACATAATTAGTGATTAGTTAGTAGAAAGTGGTTTTCTTAAATAATTTTTATGTGTAATTTTTGATAAATTAAATATTTAAAATAATTGAGGGTGTTGTAGTAAACTTATCAGTTAAAGTACAGTATGATACAGTCAAACCAAACAGCAAAATGTTATTTAACAACAACGAACAATACAATCTATCCAAACATTGTATTCATAAAACGATACGATACAATACAATACAGTACAATACGATACATTATAAAACGATGGGGAACAGTGATCCAAACAGAGTGTTAGCTTCTTTTTTTTAGGAGTTGACAACAACACTTTTTTTTTACTAACATATAAAGTTTTAATTGATTTCAAAGTTCTAAATATTAGGAAAATCATTAATGACTATTATTAAATATTAGAAAACTTATTAAATGAATATTCATAAATAGTAGAGCAATAACTAAATGATTGTAGTTAAATGATGTCTAATAATTACTAAAAAGGAAAAGAAAGAGTATATACATATAGCGCCACTTTTTATGGCACTATATCAGCTGTGTCAGATTTTTTGTATAACGCCAGAAAATCTGGCGCTATACATTAACGGTGCAGTTACCGTTAATGTATAGTGCCAGGTTTTCTACCGTTATATATAGTATGGTAACTTTTTTTTTTTACACCTATTTGTGTAGTTTGAGTCCAAAAGAACCACATTTTGGTTCCGGACTCCTATAAGTCGAATATCTTTTTTTCCAATCTATATTTCTGTATCAGTAAATGCAAAATAAATATCATTCTCGTGGCTTCTAAACTATATTCCTCTATGAATATAGAGAAAAAAGGCTCATGAAGGTTTTACCCCCTCATTTTTAATTTAGATGACACATTTTACTTATCAAGAGTCAAATTTAATTAAATTTTAAAGTTAAATTGGATTAATTCAACTCAATATTTTAAAATTAAAATTTAGATATTCAAAAACTATAACGAAAAGTACTATAAGTTGCAATTTTTCTCAACTCAATATAATAAAAATATTATTTTAAAATATTGGTCAAACTTTATACAGTTTAACTATCGATAAACGAAATATATCATCTAATTGAAACGGGAAGGAGTAATAATTTTTGTCCTCTCTTTTCTTTGCATAGACAGAGGAAATAATAGAAAGAAACAAAAGCTAAACAATATCTCCACTTGTGATCTTAGCCTTATTTAAGCCAAAAAAGGATGCAAATTACCTTTTTTCTTTCCTATCATTTCTCTCCAATCAATATGTATAGTATATCTGCTTATATTTTCTCTTCTTTTTTCACTAGCCACTTGATTTAATAAAAAGAAAAACAATAAATTCTTCTTCTTTATATGTTTTTGTCGTTTCTCTTTCAAAATTCCAACTGAAAGTTTTGTCCACTTGGTATGAACAGCTCATAAAAACCTTCCCTTTTGTCTTTGGTTCTTCTCTCTCTCTCTCTCTCTCGTTTGCCTATATAAAGCTACTACTTATTTTTCTGTTCAACCAAAAGGGACCAAAAAAAAAAAAATGGTGAATTTTCGTCTGGAAATTTTCATACTATGTTCTTTTCTTGTATTAATTTCAGGGTTTTCAAAAAAGCTCCAAACTTTACCATTTGATGAAGGGTACTCACAACTCTTTGGCCATGATAATCTTATGGTTCTTGAAGATGGAAAGTCAGTTCATATTTCTCTAGATGAAAGAACAGGTTCATTTCTTCTTCTTTTTTGGCTTTATTATTTTTGTTTCAATTTGTGTGACGCAATTAAACTCGTTACAAATGAACATATTTTATTTAAGTTATTGTATTTGTGGTATCAGACATGTTATAACCGCTTGTCATTAAAGGGTATAATGAGAAATTCAGGTTAGATTACTTTTAAATATAAAAATGTGGCATTGTTTTACGGAAGAGCATATAAGAAAATTCTGTAATATTTTATAAACTAGAACGAAAGGAGTACTAGATTAGTAGTAGCTTTTATATGGCAGTTTGTTTTTTTTCAAGGAAATTTACTTATTTGGTTTTTGTGGAATTAAATGGATGAAATTACAGGAGCAGGATTTGTGTCTCAAGACCTCTACCTTCATGGCTACTTCAGTGCTTCTATTAAGTTACCAGCAGATTACACTGCTGGAGTGGTTGTTGCATTTTATGTAAGTAAAAACCAATACTATCTGATTTGATTCTTTATTTATTTAACACAAATAATTAAGAGGAAGATTCTTGATGGATTTTGCATTTGGATTTTATGTTTTCAATTTTATATATGTTGTCCTAGGAATTTTGAGCTTGGAAAAGTTTGGCACGTTCCAATTCTTGATAAAGGATGAGAATTATGCTAGGTTGACGGTCAAGTGAAAATAGTCAGAATTATACACTAATATTAATTTTAAAAAATTATATAGCGGATATTATTTAGTTTAGGATTTCATAGGTGAAAAGTGTGGGTGCAATGAGGTTTAGGTAATTTCTTTCATTTCCGCAAGTTTTGTTAGATAAAGTTATTCGATATATGTTGGTGGAAGGATAATAATATATCCGTTAAAGTATTTGAGATGCCTCTAAGTTGGTCCGAACATCGCAATTGTTAAAAAATATACTACTATATAATATGACAAGCACGCTCATATGGGTTCTTGATCATTCTGTTTTTCTGATTATATTTTACCTGAAATTGGGTAAACACACCATCATATTACCAAAAAGGAAAAAGAGGAAGACAGGTATAGTGAATGGTCTCCAAGATTAATCCCCTCTATTTCCTTCTTTTTATTCTTTTTTCTTTTTTGGTAATTGTTTGTGGGGCTGGGAATTGCCCACCTTCCCCTCTCTTCTTTCTTTTGTACTTCCACCGTTCCAGTTTATGTTAACCTATTTGGTTTTTGGTCCGTTCCAAAAAGAATGGCCCCTTTCTAAATTTGGAAATAATTTAGCTTAAACTTTCAATTCTATCCTTAACGAGAAGCTTTTATAACCACACAAATAATTTAGACCCCTTTTTTGACTTGTTTAGGATCACAAATTTCAAAAGTCTTCATTTTTTCTTAAATTCCGTGTCCACTCAAACAGGTTCCCATACCTTTTTAACCTTTCAGACTGATTTTTACCACCTTTCAGAAACTGTAAATTTCAAAATATGATAATATGATGAATCAAAATTCTCATTTTGGTTTTTAAAAGAAATCAATTGGATTATATTAAAAAAAAATTGGATTATATTGTTATTTCTTTGATAAGTAATTGGATTGTAGTGTTACATAAAGTACTATCCTGCAACTTTCATTTTTTAATTTTTTTTTTTTTACTATTTAAATGATGACAGATGTCTAATGGTGACATGTTTGAGAAGAACCATGATGAAATTGACTTTGAGTTCTTGGGAAATATAAGAGCAAAAAACTGGAGGATTCAAACTAATATATATGGGAATGGTAGCACAAATGTTGGCAGAGAAGAAAGATATGGACTCTGGTTTGATCCATCTGAAGATTTTCATCAATATAGCATCCTCTGGACTGAGAGCCAGATCATGTAAGTACCTAATTCCATTAGAAACAGCTCTCCCCTTTTAATTTATTTTCTCAAAAAAAAAATGTATAATGGCGTGTCGGGATCATCAGTTTGCACTTATCTTGACTAATACACGAAGTAATTGTTACCTCCCGCTAGAACAAGTGTCTCGGATAGAATAAGCCAATGATGCTTGCATCAAGTTAAGCTGCCTACGTCACACCTCTTGGGGTGCGACCCTTCCCCATACCCTGCGTGAAAGCGGGATGTTTCTCGCACCGAACTGTCTTTTGTTTTTTGTGATCTTTTTGTCTCTATTGAGATTAAAACCGTAATAGCCTTTCTAGTTTCGTTGACAACTAGGTCACACCCGGGATGTTTTTCGTGATTTTGATTTAAATACTTCCTATTAGATGTGCCATGTTCCTAATTCAGTTTTATCCCTTTTCTTTTTCTGTGCTAAAGCCAGTGGATTTTCCTTATAGTTTTGTTTAATTTAACTCTAACCTTATAGTTGATCTTATTACAGTGACTAATACCCTCCTCTTATATAACCCTTCCAGTCAAACCTAAAAACACACACCAGCTTAATCTATATAACACTTTTGATTGATTCTGTTTTTGTTTTTTTTCAGCTTAAGGACCAATTAGAGGAAAAATCAGAACTTGAACTACTAGTATTAACAACCACATACCCACACCGTGGGGTCTGGAAAAGAACTTGAACTAGTGTGTAACTTGAAAAGTTATCCTTATCCATATCACTAATTATGTACAAGACTAGGGGTGACAAAATGGTTAAAAAGATAACCAATGGGTAACCAATGGGTCTAACTTTTACGTTTATAAAGCCTCAAATTGGGAGTTCCTCAAGTTAGGAGACTAAGAATTCTCCCAAAAGTGATCATATGCAAGAAATCATAGATAATATGGGTAACCATGATAATATGGGTAACCATATTATCCGCCGGTTAACCCGTTTTTTATCCGTATTAAATATAGGTCAAATCGGATAATTTATCCATTTTTTCATTACCCGTTTTTATTCGAACCATATCCGACCCAACCCGCCCGTTTGTTACTCCTATACAAGACTAATAGCCCGTTTGGCCAAGCTGCAAAAATCAGCTTATTTTGAGAAGTGCTTTTTTTCTAAAGTGCTTTTCTCAAAAGTACTTTTGGTGAGAAGCAGTTTGTGTTTGGCTAATTAGTTTGAAAAGCACTTCTGAGCAGCAATTAGTGTTTGGCCAAGCTTTAAAAAACTGCTTCTAAGTGTATTTTTCTCAAAAGTGCTTCTCAAAAAAGTGCTTTTGGAGAGAAGCTACTTTTTTTTGCTTCTCCAAAACTGCTTCTGCTTTTCCTCAAAAGCATTCTTTTTCCTTCCAAAAGCTTGGTCAAACACCTCAATTTTTGGCTAAAAGTGCTTTTGATTTGACCAAAAAGAAGCTTGGCCAAATAGGCTATAAGAGGGCCTAGAAGGGCAGTCGGCAGTCTTGCTTTTTGGCACTGCAGTTTTTCCCTTCCGTTAAGCAAGACTTTTTAAATTATCTTTTACTTCTGCCTTTGGTCCACTGTTTCAGAATGCAGGGAATCTCTCTTTTCTTCCTTTTTTTTGGGGTACAGGGTAGGCAGTGGCGGAGCTAGGGGCTGAAGGGTGTTAATACCCCTCGGCGGAATCCCCTAGGCTTCCCCGCATGTTTAATTTTTATTTTTATTTTTTGAACCCCTTTAATGAAATTCCTAGCTCCGTCACTAGTAGGTACGTAACTCAGTATAAAATTTGAGCAACATTTCCTGAATTTGGTCAGTATAAAATTTGAGCAACATTTCCTGAATTTGGTCTTGGCTTGGTTCCTCTTGCTTTTCACTCTTATGGTATGAAACTAGCAGTTTTTGTACACTGACATGTTAGTAGTGGAGGCACTGATTACATTTTGTTTGATTTGTGTGTTTTATGCATTTTGTTGCAGCTTTTATGTAGATAATATCCCCATAAGAGAAATCAAGAGGACAAAAGCAATGGATGGGGACTTCCCTTCTAAGCCAATGTCTTTGTATGCTACAATTTGGGATGGTTCTAGTTGGGCTACCAATGGGGGCAAATACAAAGTCAATTACAAATATGCCCCTTACGTCGCCAAGTTTTCCGACTTTATCCTTCATGGATGTGCAGTTGATCCAATTGAATTGTCACCAAAATGTGACACTGCACCTAAGTCTGCATTAATTCCAACTGGTATCTCCCCTGATCAAAGAAGAAAAATGGAGAGCTTCCGAAAGAAGTACTTGCAATATTCGTACTGTTATGACCGGACTCGATACAATGTACCTCTATCTGAATGTGTAATTGATCGTAAGGAAGCTGATCGTCTCCGAGGCTTTGACCCCGTGACCTTTGGTGGCGTCCAGCGCCATCACAACAAACGACACCACCAGAGGCAATCGAGGAGGGAAGACGCGTCTTCTGAATAGAAAGAAGAGTATTATAGTTTCTCTACATTGACATGATATTTGTCTCCAGTTTGATTGAAATTATGGTAATTTTTCCCTGTGAATAGAGAATACACAATAGAGAAGAGAGCTAGTTGGGATTACTACTATAAAAATGTGTCATGATCATGGTAGGGTATGTATATATTTCATACCTTTAGGGTCCCAGCATGTTCTTATTTGATGTTTAGTATTTGGCCATTTATTATAAATTCAATTTGGTGATGATTTTTTTCTGTACTTTCTGTTGACACTTTGAATAAATACATTTTTTTTTTCAAATCCCTTCTAATTTAGGAGGATCTATAGTGTTTTCACACTTCCCCTCCAGCGTGACTTGAATCCAGGACATAACGGTCGTGATTTAAGGTGTTTTTACCAACTGAGCAAGTCTCACTTGTGTGAACAAATACATAGTAATGCTAGTGCTAGCTTACATATTTAAAACATTGTTGCATTTGGCGGAGGGGGCAGGGGTCTCCAATTATCAAATTAGTAAATGTTAAGGTTTCTTTTATTAAGTTCTACATTTTAGGCCTCTTCTGGTTTGTGTATGTCACTAGTGTAAGAGTTGTCATGATGTTAGGCCAATATGAAAAGATTTTAAGTTATATGCGCTAATAGTTTTTACACTCCAATCTTGATCCTGTTTAACAAGATTAGTAGCTCGGCTAGCAATTCGTTTTTCCTATTCGAGTTGCCAGCAAGGCTGACAATTGATGGCGAATCACGTAATTCGATGGATGAAGGAAGACAACTTCAACTTTCTTGGCTTTTAGAGAATCCTTGGACAAATAGTTTCAGAGTCTATTCCCATTATGGCTCCGATTGTGCAAACGCTACACTTGAATCAATAAAGGAATACTTGAGAAGCCTAATTGCTAATTTTTTTTATAACTGTGGTGTTCGAACCAACTTGCACACACCTCAACTAATTCTACGAGATTCCTGCCACAAAAGGTGTCAAATGGGTGGGCCGGGCCGGGCCGAGTTGAGAAAAAAAGTGACCGGCCGGTCACCAATCCGGGCCGGCTACCGGTTTTTCCAAACCGGGCTTAACTGGTCAGGGCCTATCCGGATAAAAATTGAACCGGAACGGTTACGGGTCTAAGGGTTGGGCCAGGCGGGTTTATGTTTTTTTTTTTTTTGTATTTTGTATAACTACCGTAATTTATATTAATAAATAAAAAAACAATCTTATAAAAAGAGTGTTTGAAAAAATTTCAAAGGCTTTTAAACCCTTATATTTAAAAAATTCACTTATAGTATAAATCTTATACTGGACACTAGAGTTATAATAACTTGATATATAAGCATCAAGCTTCAAAGACTTTCATAGTTTCATTTCAAATTTTCATTGCATAATAATACTTCAAATTAATCCAACAAACTAAAACTTTAAGCATAAATACGTCTAATAATTTTAAAATAACACAAATTGTATCAAATCAACTTAAATACAAATAGGAGGACGCTCAAGACAACTCTTCATATGCCTCCTTAAAAGCCTGTGCCCACCCACTTTAGACGAAGATTTAAGACTCGACCACAATTCTTGCACTTTACTTTATGAACTTATTCATTTTCTTATACCACGTCAAAGTGTTCCTGTGATGACCCAAAAGGTCATCACTTGTTTTTAAATTGAATTCTGCGTTCGAGGCCTTAAAAACCTCTTTTAGCATCACCTCGATTTGCGTGCGCAGTTCGGGCGCGTAGCCGAAAAGCCTATATGTAAAACTCTGTGAAAAATGATAATTTTTGACTATAAAATGAATTAATTTGACTTCGGTCAACGTTTTGGGTAAACGGGCCCGGACTCATAATTTGACGGTCCCGGAGGGTCCGTAGGAAAATATGGGACTTGAGCGTATGCCCGAAATCAAATTCCGAGGTCCCAAGCCCGAGAAATGAATTTTTAAAGAAAATTATTTTCTGAAAAATATAAAGGGTTTTGAAAGTGAAATGTTATGTGAAACCTGTGGTATCGGGCCCGTGATATGGTTCCGGAGCCCGGTACAGGTTCAATATGATTTATATGTGTATCGGTAAAGTTTGGTAAGAAACGGAGTCCCTTTGACGTGATTCGGACCTTAAATGCAAATTTGATGTTTAGAGAAGTTTTGAGAAATTTCATTGATCTTGAGGTTTAATTCGATGTTCATGATGTTATTCTGGTGATTGGAGTACACGAATAAGTCCGTAGGATGTTTTTGAGGTTGGGTGTATATTTGGTTTGGAGCCCCGAGGGCTCGGGTGAGTTTTGGATAGGCCACGGGGTGCATTTTGAACTTAGAAAATTGCAGGTTTCATTGCTGGTATGATCAGGCCTGCAGGCTTCGCATTTGCGAAGCCTGGCTCGCAAATGCGAGGGCTTGGTCGCAAATGCGAACCAGCCCAGGCCTTCCTTATCTCGCAAATGCGAGTTCTTCTTCGCAATTCTGACCTCGCAAATGCGAGGGTCCCTTTCGCAAATGCGAAACGCCAGTTTTCCTGAAGGGTTCGCAAATGCGAGCCCTGTTTCGCAATTCCCAAGCTAGCAGAGGTCGGGGTTAGCAATTGCGAACCCCTGTTCGCAATTCCCACATCTGAGACCTGCAACTTTTATACTTAGCCGAATTTTTAACCCATTTTCATATTCTCTCAAAACATAAACACACTAAGGCGATTTTTCAAAGGTTTCTTCTCCTCCAAATTAATTGTAAGTCATTTTTAACTAATTTTCTTCAATCATTAACATCTTTTAATATGATTTCAACTCAAAATCAATGGTTTTCATGGGGAAAATTGGGTGTTTTGGGTAGAACCTAGGTTTTTCAAAAATTGGAGATTTGGACCTCGATTTGAGGTCCGATTTCGAACAAATTATATATTTGGGTTCGTGGGGGAATGGGTGATCGGGTTTTGGTTCGAACCTCGGGTTTTGATCATGTGGGTCCGGGAGCGATTTTTGAATTTTTGGGTAAAACTTTGGAAAACTCATTTTCATGCATTGGAGTTGATTCATTTAGCGTTTACTGATGTAATTAAGTAACTTGTGACTAGATACGAGCGAATTGGTGGTGGAATCAAGGGGTAAAGCTATAGTTGAATCGTGAATTGTGTTCGTGGCATCGAGGTAAGTGTTTGGTCTAACCTTAGCTTGAGGGATTAGGAGTCGTGTCTTAATTGCTACGTTTTAATTGTGGAGTACGACGTATACGCATGGTGACAAGTATTTATACGTCGGTGTCAAGCATGCCCGTGAGTCTTGTATTATAATTGTTATGACTCCGTTGTGGTTTATTGTGCCTCACATGTTACTATCATCATTGTTCCCTTGCCGGAATGTTTGTTTTGATATTATTGTTCCCTTGTCAGGATGTTGTTGAAATATTATTATTCCCTTGACAGGATGTTGTTATATTGCTCTTGTTCCCTTGCCGGGATGTTGCTATATTGCTCTTGTTCCCTTGCCGGGATGTTGTTATATTGCTCTTGTTCCCTTGCTGGGATTCTTTGTGGTTATTGTTGATTTGTAACTGGGATCGGGTGGCACGCCTGCCATAAATGAAATGGGAGCGGGTGGCACACCTGCCACGAGATAAATGAAATGGGAGCGGGTGGCACGCCTGCCACGAGATAAATGAAATGGGAGCGGGTGGCATGCCTGCCACGAGATAAATAAAATGGGAGGGGGTGGCACGCCTGCCACGAGATAAATGAAATGGGAGCAGGTGGCACGCCTGCCACGAGATATATCAAATGGGATCGGTTGCACGCCTGCAACGAGATACGTGAAATGGGAGCGGGTTGCACGCCTGCAACAAGATGAGAAATGAAAGTGAATTCTGTCTTTATTTTCCTCATCCTTGTTAGTAGTTGGATTTTGGTTCTTTTATGATTCTCTTGATATTCTGTTTTACCTGTTATTCCCCGAAGCATGCTTTTCCCCTCCCATCTTTACTTGTTTATTTCTGTTTTACTTTCCCCTGTATATTATATAATTGCACCGGTTTATTTGGTAGTCTGGTCCTAGCCTCGTTACTACTTCACCGAGGTTAGGCTTGACACTTACCAGCACATGGGGTCAGTTGTGCTGATACTACACTCTGCACTCTTTTGTGCAGATCCCAGTGCTGTAGACTTCGGATCGTAGATTGAGTGGTTACCTTCAGGCCACGCGGAGATCCAAGGTAGACCTGCAGGCATCTGCAGGCCCTGGCGTCTCCTCTATCACTTATTTCCTGTTCATCTCGTTGATTCTGAGACAGTATATCTTTTATTTTCAGACTTTGTATTTAGCACTCTTAGATCGTCTGTGATACTGTGACACCAGGTTTTGGGTGATTAAGGCTTAAGTAGTTGTAATAGATACAGATTTCAGAGATTGTATTGTTTTCTTCCGCTTAATCTAAATTTTCCGCTTGGGAATGGGTTGATCTTCCTCCAGGAAATAAACCTTTGCATTATAAGTGGATTTTCATAAGGAAAATGAAAGCTAATGGTACTATTGTCAAATATAAGGTAAGATTAGTTGTCAAATGATTTAGACAACGAGAAGGTCATGATTATTTTGATAAATACTCACCGGTAACGAGGATTACATCTACTCGGGTGTTAATAGTGTTAGCCGCCGTGTATGGCCTTGAAATCCATCATATGGACTTAAAGACAACCTTCTTAAATGGAGATTTGGAGGAAGAAATTTATATGGAACAACCTGAAGGTTTCGTGGTTCCTGGAAAAGAAAAGAAGGTGTGTCGACTTGTTAAGTAGCTTAACGGATCAAAACAAGCACTCAAACAGTGACATGCGAGATTTGACCAAATAATATTGTGTAAACAAATGTGTTTACGTTAAGAATACTTCAAATCATATAGTCATTTTTTGATTATATGTGGATGATATGTTGATAAAATATTTAAAATGTGGGGGCTTTTAGCTTATGCATGACAAAATCCAATGTTAGGCGTAGTGTCTAAATGATATAATTTTTTAAACCCACGAATCCTTAGGGATATTGATATGGTAGTCGGTGAATTCATTACTTTAGTGATGACTAGTGACGAAACTACAAATTCGAAAGTTGTTTACGTGCCTTTCCAGAAATGATTTGTTCTTTCTTGAACATTTATAATGTTTAGCTCTTTTATGAAAGGGTGTTACCTGGAAGGCTGTGACTTTTCATGAAAAGTGCGTTTGTATGTCTTGTATAAATATGATCGTTCATAAACAAACGTATTAATACATTGGTCTAT